CATTTGTACTGTTTGTCCATTATCCACATAACACTGACTAACACATTATAAAACCGCAATATGTGAACTATTAGCAATTTCCATCCTGAAAGTTGGCGTGGTCACAAACAAGTGAAATCTTTCACAGAATAACTATTGTGAATGAGTTGATTTTTGATTGTTATGCCTCGAAATTCCGCTTTTCAAAACAAGTAAGTAAAATCAGATGCTAGTAAGTAAAATGTAGTATTTATCGAGGTCCTAATATGTCAAAGTATTAAAATAATAGAGTTCAAACTAAGGAAGAAGGTTTTGATTTGCTTTGGTTGTAAATTTGCAATTTCTGACATTTTATCAAAGATGAAATTATTTAAGGGATGTTTACTTAAAGTGTTTTGGATGCAGAAATGTTTACTTAATGTGTTTTGGATGTAGGAATATTTATTTAATGTGTTTTGGATGCAGAAATGTTTATTTAATGTGTTTTGTATGTAGGAATGTTTATTTAATGTGTTTTGGATGTAGGAATGTTTATTTAATGTGTTTTGAATCGTTGAATATTTCAGCAAGAAATAAAATTTATCAAACATATTTTTTTTCCAAATGTATAATTAACGTACTATATATTTTATGCTATATTGATAGAACTATTTGAAAATTAATACTCTAGCTCAAAGACTATTTCTGCTAATATACGAAGATAATAATGTTTTTACATCCTGAGAGTAACTGTGGCTTCAATGTGACTATATTTCTATAAGCCTATATTGGTCAGTCGTGAATAATTCGAACATTTAGTATACATGGACTGTAATATTAGTCAGCTTAAGCAAAAATATTTCACTTCAAGTATGAGTATGCTTATCGTAATTAAATTCTATTTGATTTTCTTGAATTAATTGAATTTTATACCTTTTTACGATAATTTTACAGACATACAGGACTTATTGTATTTTGATACTAACAATCCAATAGTTTTTGTTTTACTTGTCATCATTTCTTTGATATGGTGTCATAATAATAATAAAATATTTGGCAGTAAAAATTTGTGAAAATGAAACTGATGGATTAGGTAAGAAAATAATAAAAGATCTGAGATTGGGTAGAACTTCCATGTGAAGATTAATTCTATTTTTTACTGCACTGACAGCTTACGAGGCTTACCACCGACTAATTCACACTTATCAATGAGCATGCTAGAAGCAAGAGGTATCAGTAGCCTGTGAAATAGAATGAATACAGTTGCAAGGTCTTAAACTCTGAATTTTTTCTCAGTTAACGCTAGCCCTTTTTCACATAATATGTTTTACGATCTTTCTGTTGATTTTATTTGAGACTCCACTCTTCTTTACTAAGTGCGATTATTTTAAACCAGTACTTTGATAGCTAGTTAAATGGAACTATTTCCTTGTGGAATAGCTGCATCCAACAATAATATGAATCATTAAAATGAGTTAAGTATCTGTGAGTCAAAAGACTAGTTACAAAACAGTAACGGAACTAATATTCGAACCTGTTAACTGGATTTAATTATTAAAGTTTAGAGGCAGCTTGAATGGATAATAAAGAAAACATTATTACAAGTTTAACACAGTAACGCATTTACAACGTTTCGAGAAGGTTTGTTATAATCAGTAATTAGGTACCTTGTCGAAATGTTGTACGTTTCTTACTGTGTAAAACTTTTCGCCACCATTTTAGCTCTCTATAAACTTTAATAGCCTCAAAGTGAGTTTTTCGTCATTAAATCTAGGCTTAATATGGTTAGCACCTGCAGCTCTTAAAACTGGATTCTGGCTTGATATATACGTATATCGATATCTCAGTGAGGTGAGTTACGAGTTACAGCGTTTGCGTAACGAATGTGATCTCATGCACGTAAACATACCGACAAGCTTCAAATAGACATCATCATAGGTGGATGAACAAGATTACTCTGTTGACAAAGGTTTGATGTCGTATGATGTCATCTCATCTGTTGAGGAGTAAGAAACTGGCGTTACTTCTTTAGCTGTTCCTAATGAATCAAATGAGGAAACGTCAGCAGAGGGACAGTCTACAGAGATTGAGATCGAGATCGTTAGATTAAAACTGTATATAGCGTCAACACTTCATTACAGTCGATGTCGCCATACCCGGCCACGGTGTATCTGATGACCATGCATCTTGACACAGTAACCCTGCAGCATAGTTTCTATTGCAAAAGACACTATCGCAAGGATGTCATGACCGAAGCACACCATTCCTTCCTGTTTACTTTTCATAAGCCATCTGGTGTATGAGAAAGACGGTTCCCAGTGCTAATTTCAACAGTCCAATCGCACAATAATCCATAGCTTCTGAGTCCAAAGACTTGACCAGTATGTCTTTTATAGAATAACATGAATACCAGTTTCATTCTCCAGTTGCTTGAGACATGTGATAGTTGAAATAACATGTCGTAGAAGCAATCTGTGTACAAAACTCATGCCTCTTTTCAAAACAAGGATTCTTCTTGATTATGTTTCATATCGTTGACTGAGATACGTAGAGGGCTTTGCCACTGACGTTTGGATGCATGTATTCTCACATGTTACAAGATGCTGGTCTTAGTGCACCTACAGTTTTGAGTAACTTTAATTTAAAAAGATTGTTTGATTTTAATGATTGAATTATTTTCAAAGTTTCTCATATATCACTGAATGTTTTATTTTGACACTGTTCCGAAAAAGGTGGTCATTATACAAAACTTTTGTGTCAAGTACGCCCAGTTGTGGTAAGCAAAGTACAGTGTCTTGTAACAAGTGATAATCCATGAACACAAATAGCAGTAGCAAAAGACATTCACGTTCACCAAACAATGATACATAAGATATTCAAGGATTATATACCAAAGTATACCAGTTAAGTCGCCTGAAGCGCCGTCTGTAGATTTCTGTGCGATGGAGATGTTAAAAAGGGCGCTAGTAAAACCGCCGTCATCGTACATTAGCTGAATAATGGAAATAATTCAGGAAGGGGTAGCTTGTGGTGGACATGAATTCCTTACGAGGAGCTTTTTTGCAATGGAACTACACTTTATAGCTATTGTCAAGACTCATAGCTATCCGAGAGCGTATGAACAGACGTGACGACATGGCCTGTAACGATGTGATGTGGTGAGGCTCCAAAATCATATTATTATAACGTACTCAACCCACTTTATAGCATATGCCAGACGATAACTTGACATTTAGTTAGCATGAATAATTAAAATAACCTTTATTAGAAAGTTAACCAACTTTATCGTTATATAATTTATCACTCAAATATAAGCATGACAAAACCAGAGAATACCCATGCAATTATAATATACTAGCGTATAGCCCGTCAGAAATGGCGGGGCAAGTACTACCACCCTCACCCCATAATATACTCTAACTTCGTATTTGATAGCTAACTGAAATAAAAAAATTTGCGAAATCACGCTCGACCAACAAAGAGGCAGAAAAGTGCAGTCGAGGCAGTAAAACGTCGGTAAATTCCTTTATGAGCCAATCAAAATTTAGATCATTCATGAAATAAATTCAGGGCGTATTCATATGATAATTGTTTGTTTGTTTGTATGTTTGGTATTAAGCACAAAGCTACACAATGGGCTATCTATGCTCTGCCCCCACGGGTATCGAAACCTAGTTTCTAGCGTTGTACGTCCGCAGACGTACTGCTGTGTCACTGGGGGGCCATATGATAATTATTGGTAAAAATCAGTTATACCAACAACTTCTAACATATAGAAAATACAGTGTGTTTTGGTAACGCTATGTTTCAACAATGGCTTTTATGTCATATTTCTTAGCAACAAAAGTATAGCCTAATATTATTGTTAGTCTATGTACTGAAAATATAAAATGAAATGTATAAACAACAAAACTGGAAAAAATATTTGTTGATTTCTTAATTTACAATCTCCGTTGATTAAAGAAGTTTTTTTATATATTAAAAACATTGGTGATATAAGAGAAAATAGCTTAATTCAGAAACGATTTATGTTTAAAATTGAATCGACATTATTACTTTCATGATAAATTTTATGCACTTGACTCTAGCCTAGGTGATCCCACACTACGTCTTTCCTTTAGGTTTATTATACCAACGCTTACTACACACACAGTTTTTCACGGTACACACACACACACCCTTTGCACCCCCGTCTCTAAAATCGTAAAGGGCAGACAGTAATCGAACTATTCTATCTGGATAAAAACATTTTAGCTTTAATGACTCCTATTTCGAGAAATCTAGTAGCGTGACGTGACACACAGTGTCTTTTATATAGCTTCGGTAAAAATATAAATGAAATTACCCCTGTAATTAAGCTTTCTGTTTGACCACCTTTCTCTGAGGACGGTGACGAAATATAAGAAAATCACAATTAATGTCAGAGTTATTTAGTCTATTCGTATGTATAATTTCTGAAAGTTAAGGAGAGGTAGGGTACCTAATCTATAGAAGAAACTACTTTTTTTCTTTTTAAAATGTTTTGCTTTAATAGTGCCAATCCATATATATTCCATAGCAAGTTGTGCTGCGTCACCAGCACTGAATAGATGCCAGAACCACTGTGTCATTGTGAAGAACTACCTTGTGGTATTGTATTTACACTAGATGCAACTTCTTTTCAGTTCCTTAATTGACTTTTTGCTCATTTCGAAGGTCAGTTATTCAAGCCAACAATTATATAATATAACTATAGAAGCAACGGGGGGGGAGGCGAAATGAAAAGTCCTTCAATAGCTGCAACTGTGTGCCTTTTATCTGTGGCAAGTAAAAATGAGTGTTAACCGTACAAAGCTTCGAATAAAGAAATCACGTTAATTTACCTCCCAAATTTCCTCATAAACGTGATAACACTTAGCACATGCTCTAACTTTTATTTACATAAAGCATATTCTTTACATTTTTATTTCTTGTCAAGTATTTTTTTATGTGATCAGAATAAATCTATAATTTTTCCTCCACGGTTGAGCATAGAAAGCAGTGACTATATAAAAAGGCCTAACAGGACACTAAGACCGTACGTTGTCACAGCTTCCGACCAAGAAATCGAACACAACAATCTTTTCATCATGAAGACCCAAGTTTCCATACTTCTTCTTAGCTTCATGTTGTTACTTATGGTAGAAGCATTACATAAAACTCATGAAGATATAGTGGAGATCATGTGTTGTGAGTATGTTTAAAACTATATTTTTAAATATCTAATGGTTAAAATTGTGTAAATCACTTTTTTGGTTTTTAATGTATCCTGTTACCAACGTTACTGTATTATTATTTTAATTTTTAGTGTATCCTGTTACCAACGTTACTGTATTATTATTTTAATTTTTAGTGTATCCTGTTACCAACGTTACTGTATTATTATCTTAATTTTTAGTGTATCCTGTTACCTACGTTACTGTATTATTATTTTAATTTTTAGTGTATCCTGTTATTAACGTTAGTGTATTATTATCTTAATTCACATAAAGATTTTATGAGCTTCAGAAATTAACTTATTAATTTGATTTACCGTTTAGATAAAGAATAATCATTAGATTTTTTAATGCATGTATAAAAATTTAATCGTTATACTTTTGTTTAGTTGTTTGGTTTGGAAATCTCTCGTGAAGAGAAACAATGTTTTATGGGCTTCCAAGCTAGCTCTTCGTGTTATTTTCAAACTTAACATTTTTTCACCATGAGAACAAATACAATTTAAATTATCATATTTCAATCATAACATGGTAGCAAATAAACTATACGCGAATACATCAACAAACATGTTGTTATAGCTAAGGGTACTATATAGGTTCCGTATTAATTAATCGAAGAAATCACATCTTATCCTATTTATATTCGACAGTACCAACACGTAGACATGTACCGTTAGATTTAATTAACTTAACTTCAAGAATCATTTTAGTTGTTGTTGTTTAATTTATCTGGGATGCAATGAATAAATAGAACACAATTTCTAAAAAGTTTAAAATCCAAGTGTTTTGTAAGTTCACTATTTTTTTATTTTACCTTTTCATTGTTTAAACAGCGAAAGATACAACAAACACTGAAAAAGAGGAAATCCAGAAATGCATTGACGATCACCTTCCTCGTAAGGTAAGATAATGGTGATATAATATCAAACGTTAAAAATATAAACAGCTGTAGCATATTTTAACACCCCTTTTTTCTTCCTATTACATACAGCAAAAAAAAACATGTATGATATTTTGCAGGAGAACGATAGGAAATGTTGTTGTTTTTCCATATCAGAAAGTTATCAATGCCAATTACAAAGGCTTTCTCATCAAAGGAACAATCTTGCTTAGTTTCATTTATCCATATATGGCTATAGTATCATATCGGAATTGGGAAATTTGATAAGCAAAATTTAAATTAATTCATATACAGATGAGTGCATTTTACTGCCGTTGTCAGATACATGTTTATTAGTGCATTATACACACACTTCAGCCCCCCAGTAGCACAGCGATATGTCTGCGGACTTACAACGCTAGAAACCGGGTTTCGATACCCGTGGTGGGCAGAGCACAGATAGCCCTTGTGTAGCTTTGTGCATAACTAAAAACAAACACACAAACAAACACACACTTCAAAAAATTTAAGGTACAGCTCTAATTACCTAAAATGTGAAACTAGAAAAACAGCGGAAAGAGAGATTTTGTTTGAACGAAGTTCGAAATATAATTGCATATTACCTGGAGAAAGAATCCTTGTAGAACTATGGAAATATCCCGTACAAATATAAAGGTAGGAAACACCCATTTCGCGTTAATCAACCTTCTGATGTTCTGAGACAAACCTTCGTACAATTGAACCAGTTGAATAGTATTTTCTCAATAAACACGAAAAGTAGATCGCATTCAGAAGAATTACTAATGTGGAGAACAACTAGTACATTTGAAACATGGCACTGTTGGAGGCAAGTTGCGTTTTGGCTTGGAGTGTCATCTAGTGTGGTGACTAAAATGTGGAGATGGTTTCTAACTGGACGAGACCTAAGACAGGTCGCCCTTCAGTTACAATATTGACTTAGGACCGCACTATTGGCCAGGAGAGATAAGATGGTAACAGCCGTATTTGACATTTGGTGTTCGCTATATTTGTTCAAACTGTTAGGAATCAACTTTACAATATCCTATTCTATTCTTGAAGATCCATAGTTTGTGTCCTATTAAGCCAGTCTCATCATACAGATAGAAGAAGCTGGTGTCAGGAATATCTCATCTGGGACAATGATAAATTCGCCTATGTTCTGCTTACAGATGAATCGAAGTTCAGTTTGGAGTACAATTCTCGACGTGTTAGGGTTTGGAGAACACGTAAAATAACGTTGATTGGATTGGTGCTTCGGGAAAAAGGAAAAACTTTGGAAGTGGTGGAATATTGGTCTGGGCTAACACCTCCATCACTGGTCGCACAGATCTCTATGTCTTTCACAGTAGCCTAATGAATGTGGTGAAATATAGAAACGACATCCTTGTACGTTATATGCGCTATAGCTAATGTCACTGGCGATTCCTTCATCCTAATGGAAGATAATACCAGACTACATAGAGCCGGAATTGTGAACGAATACCTTCAGTCCCATGAAATCGAAAGATTAATATGGCCTGCGTTTTCTGCAGACCTAAATCCGATCGAACACGTTCGAGATCTCCGGGAGACGTGTTGCAAACTGACATCATCTGTTTCTATCGAGGCCTGGCAAAGTTTGGTCGTTAAGGCACTTTACTCGCAATCTGTATGTTGTGGTTTCGAATCCCGTCACCGAACATGCTTGTCCTTTCAACCGTGTGTGTTTGGGGCGGCGGCGTTATAATGTGACTGTCGATCCCATTAGCTGCCTTCCCTCAAGTTTATCCATCCAAAATTAGGGACGGCTAACGTAGATGCTCACCGAGTAGCTTTGCGCAAAATTCCACAAACAGACCTACTTCTATCTTTTCAAAGAGTGATGGTCACGTGGTTAGAGCACTTGACTCGCAATCTGAGGATCACGGGTTCGAACATGCTCGCTCTTTCAGCCGTGGGGGCATTATAATGTGACGTTGTTACGTTGGTAAAAGAGTAGCCCAAGAGTTTGCGGTGGGTGGTGAT